GCTAGAGTGTTTAACTTAACTATATAAGAGCACAAAGCATCTAGCGGAAAGGGCAGATTAACTAGAGTGTTCTCCACGTTTGGCGGTAAATCCGCTCCGAGCGGAGGAAACTCTAGAGGATTAACTAGAGGACCACGGAAGTATTGTCTGTGCAAACCTAGCAAGCTATCCTATTATTAGGAGCCTATTAAATGCTGCAGGCTTTAACAGGCAATCACTAGAAAATCTAATCTAGGACCTACTCCGATCTATTTGTCTGACACGGATACTAGGATAATTAACTAAAGGCTTTATAGTTCTAAGTTTTTAACGCTGCTTACACAGCTAAAACAAGCTAGATAGAAGATTAATTCTACTTAGCAAACGTCTAAAAAGTCTAAGACTACGAACACCATCGTAGCTTATATTATTAATCCTCGCACTTTAAGGGATCTGAGCAATGCTATCTTTAACCTTAACTATAGTGGTCACCTATTTTCCTATAGCACGATCTTCGACGGCGGTGGCGCGCTCTACCTTGCTAATAATTAGAACCTATTAGTCTTAGGAACTTACAAGAAGTGCTTAGACTACCTAATAGTTAAGGCTAGTACTTAATCCTTACTAGTCTTAGGGGTAGGTGATTGACTGTTCAAAGATTTCTTTAATAGACTAGATAGTCTACAGGACCTGTTGCTTAAGAACGTTATAGTTGTTAAAGGATTTTATGTTAACATTGTTTCTGAAGCCTTGCTTAGGAAGGTTAGATTCTAGTACACTAGTTATAATTAGACTATCCGCTCTAGGGACATAGAGCACAGCATTATCCTTAGAAAGCTCTACGTCGCCTATAACCTAGTCTTTATTAAATATAAGCTATTCCGTTATCCTTCTATGCCACTATTAGTAAACAGTGTAAGACGATCGGCTCAGCCAAAACTTCTATTAGATAATAAGCTTTTGTAGCATTAAAGATTAGGCTACCTAGGTTAAAAAGCTTTGCAAGCACTCGCCTAAGCTGCCTAGAACGTCAGGATCGAAGGCACCCGACAGCTGGAGTGTGAGCATTGTGCCACTACCTATGCCACACAGGTGATCTCTCGGAGACCAAGAGAGCGATCCCCCCGACCATTCTATCGAGTCTCGTAGGATCTGTTCAATTTTCCAAAGGGACGATTAAATAAGCAGTTTACTCTAATTATTAAAGAAGATTTTTTAGGCAAAATCTTTAATTATAATGTCTAAGGGAAGACTCTGTTAGAGATTATACGGGTGATTACAGCTTTTAAAGCTTAGGTACAACGGAAGTACGACTTGCGGATTATAGAAATCTATTAAGATAACGATACTGCTACTTTGCCTTAGAGAGGGCGATTAAGATACGAGGAATAGGCTAAAGAGAAGAGGATTATAATCCTTAGTCCTCTGCTATATACACATGAGCCAAATAGCTCGGCGGAGCGGGCGGGTTAAGAGCTAATCACGAAGTCGATTAAGATACGCCTTAGCACAAACTTCCCTAAGAAGCTCTAGCCTAAGATTATAGATGCGGCGGCTTACCTATACGCAAGAAGCCCTACCGTAGTCTATTAGTACCGATCTCCTAATAAAATCATCGAGAGCTGGTTTAGGCAGTACTTTAGATAGTACGAGCCTGCGCAGATTAGACACCGCACCGCGGATCTGCGACCAGATTGGAGTGGGATCTACGCCTATAGCTGTCGCGCATATCCCTTAGATTAGGACCGCGCAGCAGGGCGAGATCGTCGTGGATTTAAAGTTAATCTAAGGGGTTATATTAGATATTTAGTTAGCTATTAAGCGTCTAATCTCTATAGGATATAGATCTCTATTACTAATTAAGTAATTACTTCTCGCGATGTGTCCTTTGACGAGACTCGTTTCTACATAAGGAAGAACGAGGATGAGATACTAAAGGAACAAGCAATCGAACTTGCGGATGTGCTTAATATCGGAGAATTGCATAATCTAGGGGCGGACATTAATATCCCGTCCCTTGGAGATTAGGTAATCTAGACGACGGATCTAACCACTAAGAGCAATCTCAGGGGTGAGCTACCCGAAGGACCTAAACTAGTGGCCGGCCAGCCAAATAATTAGGAATAAGGGCAAGCAGAGACTAAGCGAAGTGATTCACTAGCTAGTAATTATTTAAGAATTCGCACAGGTTAGAATCTAGGATATAGACTTGCAACCCTAAAGCAGACGCCTAAGCCGTATAGCTCTAGGATAGACGCTAATCGGCGTTTCCTATCTAGTATTCAACAGGGAATGCATCAACCTAGTGGAATTAGAGATCTAGATACGGGTGATCTAGTCGTTACTCGATCACGTGGCGAAGGGCTAGAGCGCCTAACGCAACTTAATAAATCTCCTGCGCAACTAGTGTCCACTGACGCAGATAATTAAGAGGGAATAACTACTTAAGAACAATTAGTTGCTTGAGGCACGAGACGTCGTGGACGTCCGCGCGCATCGGCGGGATCTTCCTTAAGGGCGACTGCGCCAACAGGGGATCTAGATGTTAGATTAAGTGCGCCTACACAAAGGACTAGTAGGAGACTCTAGGGAGATTAGCTAGAGCCTAATATAGTCTATCGCTATATGCCTATTAGGCGTGGACGAGGCAGAAGCAAGGATCCGGACGATCAACTGGGGGGTGGAGCTGCACCTAGAGGTGTGCACGCATTAATCGCGGATCTTCAAGATATAGATAGTCTATAGAGCGATTTCAAGCACACGTACATACTAGGGATAAATAAGACCTAGGAGGATCGAGCAAGTTATAAGACACTGAATGCCGTAGTCATGTCAGCGACGCTCGATCTATCTGTGCCGCAGGCACTTGATTTGGGGGATCGTCCGCATAGGGACGTCCTGCCTAAACCACCACTAACATAGCGCGAGCTACAGAGCCATTTAATGCGCCCTCTGTTTATAGATGCCTCTAACAATAAGATTAATTTGCTTAAGAAAAAAGGTATATAGACCGAGATCCTGATAGATCAAGTCCCTAATAAGCTACTCCCGCTTAAATAGGTTTAGACATATAAGTGTGATCAAGATAGGTACCTTAACTAAGGCAAAGCTCGGATTGTTGTGAGAGGCGATCTCTAAGAAAAAGACTCGCTAGATTCTACTTATGCAGCCACGTTGGCGGCCAAATCCTTTAGGACCGCTATAGCGATCGCAGCTAAGTTCGATATAGAGATTATGCAATTTAATGTCGTAGGAGCATTCTTGAATGCTAAGATTATAGCAGAAAATCCTGTGTTCTGTTAGCTACCTAACGGATTTAAGAAACCTAGAATATATGTTCGGCTTAATCGCGCGTTGTACAGATTAAGAGACTCGCTACTCCTCTAGTATAAGAAGTTCTCTAGATCGCTTAAGAAAGCAGGACTAGAGTGCTTAAAGGAAGAGCCCTACCTGTTTCTAGACAAGGATCGCAAGTTCTTGTTGTTGTTCTATATAGACGACATCCTGCTTATATTTCGTAAAGAGTTTAAAGATCAAGCTATAGAATTATAGAAAGTAATTAGTTCGAAGTATAAGATTAAGGCATAAGGACTAGTCAAGTGGTTCCTTAGGGTTAGGGTTATTCGGGACTAAGACTCTTAGACGATCACCCTAGTCTATAACACGTACATTAACAAGATCACCAAGAAGTTTAGCTTAGAGGATAGAACATTCCCTTTCACTCCGCTACCGTCGGAAGAACTAATCAAGTCTAATAGAGAGGCAACTAAGCAGCAGATTAAGGTATACTAGGAAAGAGTTAGATTAGTCCTGTACACGGCTATTATACTTAGACCTAACGTAGCCTTTACTGTCTCTAGGCTATCCTATTTCCTGACTAATCTAAGTGATTAGCACATAAAGGCGGTGGAACGAGTGATTATGTATCTATACAGGACTCGATAGGATGCTATCTAGTATAGGCACTACAATAGACTAGACCTAGTTATCTGTGGCGACGCGTCTTTTGCGGATGATCCGGAAACGCGTCGCTCATCGCACGGCTATATTGCGATGCTCTTTGGCGGCGCGATCTTCTAGAAAGCGACGCGCTAGAACACAGTGACTACCTCGACTACTAAAGCTAAACTCCTTGCTCTTAAGCATACAGCTAAAGAAGCTATAGCACTTAAGCGCTTCTTTAAGGAACTAACCCTTAATCTTAGGGACGTTTAGAAGATCTAGTGCGATAATCAACAAACGATTTAGCTGGTTGTTAGGAAAAATAAGCGGATCACAACAAGACTACAACATGTGGACATTCAGAACATGTGGCTTAGGCAGGAGCACGCAAAGGGATCGTTCTAGGTAGAATACCTAGAGACCAGCTTAATACTAGCCGATGGTCTCACAAAGTCGTTGACCCAACAACAGTTTAAGAAGTTTAAGGCACAGCTTAATCTTCAAGATACGAAATAATAGATCGCTAATTAATAAAGCGTTGTCTAAGGAAATTAGTCTGATTAAGGAAACTACTATACAAGGCTTAAGGCTAAAGGCCTTAATTAGCTAGAATGCGTCATCAGCGAGGCTTACCTAAGAAGGAGCAAGAGATCAACAGAAAAGAAAAGAACCTAAGCTTCATCACGCTTAAGCTTCTTAGCAAACTTAATAGCTATCTTGCTAATGCGATTAGCAAAGTCTTAAATAGACTTGCAACGAACAGCAGCGCGATTAGGAACAGCAAAACGCTAAGGCTTTCGAGCAGACGAAGGACTAGCAGAAGGCTCACGATCAAGAAAAGGATTATACTTATCCTAGCGAAAGATGCTCGTCTTACGAGTAGGCGTAGTGTAGTCAGCCTCGCCAGAGAGATTAACATAGTCCTCCTCTTTCTAAGTAGAGCAGGCATAGTATTTATTAATGTTAAAAACGACGTCCCCCTCTTTAGAAACGAATTAATCATTATTGTTATAGGACACGGGGGCCTACTTAGAAGCGCGAGTAGATAGACGCTCAGACTTAATGCGATTATTAAGCTTCTAGATTATCTTAAAGACGATATTGTGGTACTTCTTAATAATATGCTATATAACCTTGTTAGCTATGCACAAGCTATTAATTAACTAGAGCATTACTTACAAAGGAAGCGTCCTTGCGCTGCTCACGCATGCCTTGCTTTATGGCGGCGTAAACGTCACTAGCGATCGACTCGTCGCTAGGAACAGCATTAGCTAATCTAATTAAGATTAGGGACTAAGCGCGAAACTTATACTAGAGCACACATATAGCTCCTGCAGGCCTTGCAGTAACTGCTCTTGCTATTAGCCTAATTATAACAAAGCCTATTACTATTGTTTAAAGCCTACCGCTTAACGCAACGCTCGCAGGCGAACTTGCGAAGAGCACTAGCTTAAGAGTTGTATTGCTTCTTAACAGACGAGCGGGAAAATAGGCTTATATTATCGTTAATTAGAGAGGTGGTGCGGCGACGAGACTTAGGCCTAGAGCAATTACTAGCAGTAGAATAGGGAGCGCCGATCGAACGCAAGCTACTAGAGGCAGTGATCTTAGAGTTGCGAGTATATTCGGCATTAGCTCGTTGAGCGGCCTTGCCGCGAGTAGTCCTAGGCTGTATTTTGTTAGTATCTTGCTTACTTACTGCTGCGCAGCTGCTCAAACTTACCATAACTAGAGCGGCGACGACGAAGACGAGCAGAAAGAGCAAAGGAGAACGAAGGCGAGAAGAGTGGAGAGCGTGCTGTGCGGGAATTCGAAGGAGTAATAGTGCGGAGTAAAGGCGATAGTGAGGATTGTTGTAATAGTAAAGTAGAAAACATAGAGCAGCTAAGCAAAGGACTAAGCTATAGGCATTAATATTAGGGATTAGCGCTAGCCTAGCGGGGGCAACGCTCTCAGCGTTGCTAGTGTGATGCTCGCCAACTAGTTTTTAGCATAACAAACAATCTCCGACTATTCACAGCGCAAGGATTATTAATTATCACCGCGCACCTCACGAAGTCTTTAAAACGCAAGATTAACCGCTCAACCGCAAAAAGACTCAGGACTAGGACATTGACTAATACGGATGTCATTTTTCAGCAGGTTTCTACACAGAGGAGCAGAAGATCTAGGACAATATAGCCTATCTAGGACGATTTTTTGGACCGCTATATAGTTGGCGATCAATCAATTTTAAGAGACTGGTCAAAGCTACTAGAAGGAACTGAGCAGCCGCATATACTGGCTGCGAACACTTGTTTTTAAGCATTTTATAGGAACAGAAAGGAGAACTCATGATTATGCAGCAGGCATAACATGGTTGGCAAGCGAGTCGGTCAGGCAAGCGAGTCGGTCACCCAGAAACACACCAAAAAGCTGAGTTTTGGCAACTCGATATCTCAACAACCACCTAATAGATTTTTCTTAAAATCTTATTGTAAAGCTGCACATACATAAGCATGTAAATTCTATAGTTACAGGGCTATAGCTAACTTGATTGTAGAGTTATTAAGCAGAAACGAAAAATTCCCGCTTTTTTAGCCCCCAAATTTTATATCTCTATATCTAGAGTAGCTAGGGCCCTGTAATTATAGAATCTTATAAAGTTATAATCCTAGAGCTCTAGTAGAACCTTTGAGAAAAATCTATTTGGTGGTTGTTGAGATATCGAGTTGCCAAAACTCAGCTTTTTGGTGTGTTTTTGGGTGACCGACTCGCTTGCCTGACCGACTCGCTTGCCAACCATGTTATTTTTTTTTAAAAAAAGCTCGAAGGAACAAGGTGTGATGGTCGAAAGCGACTAGAGGAGCAGCTTTTATGCCTATAGAGGGGCGCGCCAGTTAGTGGCTGACTTACAGAGGATCAAAAAGATAGAGGGGCACCACGATGAGTGATCCGACTCATGCGAATAGCAGTCCGACTTTTTGAGACAGCGTCGGACTAGGGGGTGTGTCGCGGAAATGGACTTGATGTTGGACGTCGGATGATCACGTGATCAGATTGGGTCTTTGAGACTCCGGATCCGTGCCAAGGGACTGATTCATCATGTACAAATACCGGACCAGCCGTCTGATCTTTCTGGTCCTTAGAGCAATCAATGATCCCACTCTTGAACGAATCTGATCGGTGTCATCCCAACTATCATACTAATAAAAGGCTATAGTATTTAATAGGCTCCTAATAATAAGATAGCTTACTAGGCTTATATAGATAATACTTCTATAGTCCTCTAGTAAATTCTTTAGAGTTTCCTCTACTTAAAGTAGTTTACCGCTAAACGTAGAGAGCACTTTTGTTAATCTACCCTTTCTGCTAGATAATTTATTCTCTTTTATAGTTAAGTTAGATACTCTAGCTAGATTACTAAGGCTCATAGTTCGCTAACCTATACCTAACGCAGCTATAATTATTTATCGCAAATTACGTGCCTAGTTAAGAGCAATCTTTGCCGCTAACGTATCTACAAAGTAAGTGATAGTAAGATTTCTCTTAAATTTATAAATTTAAACGCTTAAGCTTTTATATAGAGAGCCTACTAATTAGTAAGCTATTTATCTATATTAGATTTACTAGTTTTAGCCTTCTCGAAATGAGCCCTGTATTAGATACGGAGGAGGTTTTTAGTGTTTAAATCTAATAGCGAGAGACGCTTCTTAATCTCTCTAACTATAGCCTATAGAGTAGATGTTCTGCGTAGGAGTTATATAGTAATTACTAGGAGTAAGTCTAAAGAAGCTATATAATTAATCTACTTATTAGTATTTTCAATATTCAAAGTCTTTCTAACCTACTTGCTATATACGACTTTTTAGACGCGAATATCCTCCTTATAATTTTTAATAGCGAGCTAGTAGCCTGCCTTCTTATAATTATACATCTTAAGAGAAACCTAATATTCGGCGTAGCTCTAAGGTAGGCGAGGTAGCTTAACGAG